ACAGGTAATCAGAAAACTTCCTGTTCAATCCATAAGAACTTTGACAAGAGGTAATACATCCACAAACAAAGGCTCTGTACATATATTGTGGTTTACTTTGTAAAAAAAGAAACAACAAAAGGGGAAAAGGATTAGACAAGACTAGCTTTTACTACAATGACACATCAATTATAATTCGTGATTAAAAGGCCGTGATAAAACTACTGATTGAACAAAGCCTATAAATTTGTTTTGTGATTACAATATACTTACGAACAGAACAGCGTTAAGCACACATGATATTGGCAAACATTAAATGCAATTAGATTTAACGTACAATGTAGCAATGTAAATTTGATATGGCACAACCTAATATCAACATACTCGTTTGCACTACTACTAAATTACAATATATATGATCAAAAGAAAATTGAGTACGCCCATTTGATGGTTTTTTTATTATTTTACAGTTAATTTTAGATAAACAAAAGGCAAATCAAATAAATTAACTGATTGTAAAAAAAAAAACTAAACTAATAGTATTGAGAGCTTTGGGTTCTTGACGTCCTTTTCTTCTTTATTTTCTCAGTCTTTGTTTGTTCGTTTGTCCCTTTGTTTTACTTCCTGTTTTGTTTTAATTGAAACATGTTTGAGAGGTCCTTAAACAGTAAAAATCGTAATTAGTAAATTATTTTAATTTTTTATCTTATTTTTAAATAGTAACCAATCTTCACATGTCATAAATCTAGAAGAAAATCAAATTAAATGTCCAATACGATTTAACGGTTTTGTATCTAGACAAAAGCGCTGTCCCTTGTCATTTTCCTTTTGGTCTTGGGTGAGAAAATAGCTAAACATGGCAAATCACTCCTTTCTACAGTCATCTTCGATTGAAGTTTTGAACCAAATATGCATAGCTGCGTCTCAATCTATAAAAATAGTGTCAGCGTTAACATTAGTTATATTTAGATTATATTATGTTAAGGTTATTTTCAGTTTATTTAGTTTTGAGAAAGTTGTAGCGTTTTGAAAAAAAATTATTTTGGAGTGGGAAAGTCTAATGGAAATGATTTAACAAATATTCGTGGAAAATACCTTAATTTACGGTGCTCCTATTTGATTGTAATTCTTGCTAATAACAGCCCTAACTGGCTCTGAGGTTGAGGTAACTAGGCTGTGTATTATTCACCACCAATTCGACCAACTTGTGGAGCTAAGGTCACGTGGGCCTCCAGGGAGTGTACAACTTTCACCAGCTTAACTCAACTCCAACTCCGTAGATCAAGCCATCTATTCATAACTGAAGAGTTGTAACTTTGACTGTTGTTGAGGTGAATTTTGTATTTTCATCTGCGAGGATTAAATATTAGATATATCATGTTTTTTTACCATAAAATTCTTTAATAACGTTATTTTGTTGCTGACGAAAAGAAATATGTCTACCATAATAGAAATGTTACTTAATTTATAACTTGAAACAAAGTTATGTCGTGAAGGGTAACATCAGTAAAAAGTTTAGAAATATTTTCACACGTAGCAATGTACGTACTCTCTAGAAAATTCATAAACTCTATTCATAGAATAGGAAACTCTCTAGGTATTCATGGGAACCCATGAACTAATTGCACATTTTAATAGGGATTATTTTTTATATATCTGCACCAAAGAGACTAAAGAGTGATTAACCTACCCATACCAGGCTGCAATCATCAAAAAGTAGCCTATTTAAAATCAATTTTCATCATATTTGGTCAGCCTCTTGTTTAAAATCTGACTGTGGTCCAACATTCAACTACTGAATTAGCTGTAGATAACCATTATTCACATTTAAACCGTTAAAAGAAAATTGGCCAGCATAACTTTATCTTTGAAAACTAACTCTGGAAGAAGATTAAACGTGAGGGGGCAAAGCCTTTATGAATATTTACCTTTTTCATTACCATTCTCAGGTGCGCTGGATTATAAGCTTTAAGACGACGATTCAATCGTAAAAATCGATTTGCTAGGACAGCCAAAAAGGGATATGACAGAGTATTGTATTAAGTGTAAGTGTTTTTAGTCCATAGTCATATTCACTCTGGTACTCTTTATAACAGGGGTATCCTAATATAGTTGTTATTCTTTCTGAATAATGTTTAATGCTCTACCTATGATATTTTGTAATCGTTTGGCAATTACTGAAAGGATTTCTTTAAAACAGAGAAATTAATCCTTTTTCTATAATATTTATAGATCTTCTGTATAGCTTATATAGCTCCACTTACAGCTTAAAGACCCCTTGGTCTTGTTATTTGTATTTATGAAATCTAAAACCAAAGGGAGATTTTACTCCAAACTCAGAGGAAAGAACAGCCAATAGTGATCAGATCACCAATATACTAGCCATAGGAGTTCTAAGTATTTTCGTAATGCAAAGGAATACATTTTTTATATTTTACTTATTTTGATTATTTATTTAGATTGTTTAGCCCCACTGATCAAAAATTATTCCATTCATCTATTTTTTACGCTGATTTCCCTTAAAATTAATGTATTGTTTATACCTCCTAGGTCAATATCTATATAACAAAGTAATTTGTGCAGCTTTCATGATACATTTTTGTATATCGATTAAATAATAACTGTAAATAAACCTCGAGATAGATTGTTCCTAAGAATGTATCAATGATCTCTCAAAATTCAAATATTAGAGCTAAAAAATAATAAATACAGCCAATTTGTTCAAAAAATAATACGAAGTATAACTAATTAATTAAACTAAGTCATGCCTATTATTATGATTAATGGGTAAATACTTATAAGTCGATATTGATTTAAATTTTGTCTGGCTTAATTTAAAAAGCTGTTCTTGCTATTCTATTCTTATAACACCCACTTCAACAGTTTGCACAAACACATTAGCATACACTGTGACACGCAACTTTTGACACAACTTTGCACTTAGCTTGAAAAACATGGCATCAAGGTCCGTTTATCTGATAATCGAGAACGATGTATAGCATTATTGTAAAAATAAATACTCTAGCTGCAGAAAACACGCAGTCTACGTCAATTTCGAACATTTTACGACATTTTCCCATAAAATTTAATATTTATTCCCCACTTTTTAACTGTATTTCCCATATAGGGAATAGACTATTACCCATATATGGTCTCAGCCAGAGGACCAATTTACTTTTTCGTTTTGAGGTCCCCAGAAGCCAAAAACACAATTCGTTTAAATTCATATTATACATAAATCTATATATTCACATGTATAAATCTGGAGTGCCGGTTTTTTTGTCTAATGATATTAAAATGATGATATTAAATGGCAATAATAATATCTTAATATGCTACTATAAATATAATTTAATGATATTACATAGATATAAAACTAACAAGTAAATTCTTACAATGAGACACTTAAAGCCCTGATTTAGTTAATAGTGAGCCGTGACTTGTCCACCAAGCGTCCCACCAATGTCACGCCTCAGTGTTTTTTGTATAGTACGAGTACTGGCTTTGCGCCGGAACTCAGTCGGTTTGGGTCGGGCAGCAATCCTGCAACCCAGAGTCAATGTCCGCCTTCTGTCACATTTTCACCAGAAGGCCGGCGATTGTCAATTTGTAAAGACTTGGGTATCTTCGATGAATATCAGTGTTAATCTTTCAATGTCACTGTTAATTTTGTTCATCCGTTCTTCGTAGACTCTAGTCATGGTTTAAGTGTTTTGCCAGACATCAGATGAGGTCCCAGATGGGAGGCTCTTACTGGTTGCTGCTTCCGGAGAGGTTCGCCCAGGGAGACACTACTCCTTCTCCGTCTTCGGGCTGCTCATTACCCTGCTCCTGGGACCAGTAAGCCTTCATCTGCTTTCTACTACTATGCCGCCCTACGCCATCTTCCGGATGGATCACCGCCGCCCACCATTAGTGTGATGTGACTAATGACCACGTTCCGCAAGTTACCATATTTTAAATTTGTTGAGATTTTTGGACTGAATTGAAATTTTGAAAAGGAGCCCCAATAATTATGGTTTAGCTTACTAGTCATGATCCGTTATTTATTTTTTTAGTTATTGTGAAGTATTTATTGTTAATTTATTTAAAGTTTATATATTACAGTTACCATTTTTTTAAATTATTTTTATTGTTAGGCCTAATTTGCCACTGGTACCAGTTGTAAGTTTAGAAGGGTAAACTTAAAATTCTAATTAATTTATTTTTTGAAAAAGCCTTAAGAGATAAAATAAAAGATTCTTTGGATGGTTACTTTGTTTGATTGTTGATTGTTATTTTGTTGATTTCATTGAAAAATTATAGGCTTTGTTCACTATTTGTTTTGTTTTTGATATTCACCCACGGCCTTTCACTTTTGTTAGGGATGTGGGGCGGCCACTCGCACTGTCACTATGGGGGGCATGCTTCCAATAGTTGTTCGTCTGGGGGCGGTGCGAGGGGTCGGCTCAGGTGGTAGCAGAGCGTGGTTTTTTGGTTGGGTCCTGGGTGCCTTGTCGTGAAACTTCGGTTTCGCGACTTGGATACTTAGAGATCCGATCACTGTCCACGTTCTGATTTGTTTGAAGGGCCGTGGATGGATTTGATTTTTGGGTGATGCTGGTCTGGCAGTCTTAGGAATTTTTTGAAGAAAAGTTGTTGTGGTGGGGTAAGCACACTGTTGTACTTTTTATTAGGAGCTCGCCCTTGGCCGAGTCACCGGGTGGAATCTGGTTAATTACTTGCATCCTTTGGGAGCAAGAGTGTCTAAAGCATGGCCAAACCCAAAATTGAAACTGTGTGTGTGTGTTTGCCTCATCACACAAATGTTAGGTGTTGTTGTTTAGTGTATGTATGTATGTGTGTATGTCGTGAGTGTAAGCCCGTGTTTTGGTTTTGGTGGCTTAGGCGGTGTGTATGGGCAGGTTCTTCTGTTTGGGACCTCATCTGACTGTAGGCATTTCAGTCCAGAGTCTTTAGTTAGTTAAGTTTGTGAATTGTTCGTTGTAAAAAAAAAAAAAATTTTTTTGTGTGTTTTGAAGGTAGACCGACTGACTGAAAGCAAAATGGGTTTGTTTGCTCCACTGCCCAATCCCATTGCTGGGGTTTTGAGCGACATTCGCCCGGTTGATGGTTTAGAGGTGGAACCTTTGTTAGAGTTTTTGGGAAAGGTGTTGCACCTGAAGGAGTTCCCAGGCATGGAGGACTCAGTAGTGTTGGAACTGCTGGTTCCACTCTGCCTGAGACCTCTTGGTGACAAATTGTTAGACTGTTTGAAACGGGGAGTAAATTTTGACAATTTTCACAGTGAAGTGCTTGAGCTCTTTGTCCCCTTCAGGGTCATGGAGAGATTGAAAGTTGAGAGGGTGTTTCGTCCTCAAAAATTTGATGAAACTCTGAGTCAGTATGTGGGTGACATTTGTGGCGTGTGGCGTGTCCTACGGCTGGGCATCCCTGAAAACCAACTGGTGGACATTGTCTTGCAGGGGTTGAAGCCTGAGGAGCGGTCCAGACTGATTTTTGCTCCGAAGCCTTCTTCTTTTGCAGACCTGGATAGGTTGGTCATCCTGTCACGGAGCGTTCAAGACGCTGATTGTAAAAGGGAGCACGTTGCGGGGCATCTTCCCCGGACTGGTCCCCATCCCGCTGTAGCATCCGTGTGTCGAGGTCCTGAAACACCGCAGAGACAGAGGCATCCTATTGTTTGCTTTGGCTGTGGTCAAACAGGTCACATGAGACGAGAGTGTCGTCAGAGGGTTAATCTTGGGACTTTGTCCAAAAACCTAAGTAGCTCACAAGGGGAAAGTTTGCCTAAACCGCCCTGTGAGAAAGCTGTTTTGGAGAAAGTCAGCAGGAATTTGGTTTCTCTGAGTACTGCCCCTTCTGGGAGTGCTGGTTTTGGGGAGCCTCTGTCGCGGGGTATGAGGGAGCTTGCATGCATGGGAGTGAAAGCGGCGCGCTCAACTTGCCCACGACTCAACATCTTCTTAGGTAAAACGGTGCAGAAGGCCCTTGTGGATTCTGGGTCAGCCCGTTGTCTCATTTCCCTTTCCCTGTTTGAAAATCTAAAATCTTCTGGGCTAATCAAGCAAGTTGAGCGAAGTACACACATCTGCTGGACTGCGTCGAAATCCCCACTTCCCATCATCTATGAAGCCCGTTTGAAATTCAAGATTGAACATTTTTCTTGGGTGTGGAGTTTTTGGGTAGCCAAGGACCTTTGCATTCCTGTCATTTTGGGAGCGGATTTCATCAAGCATTGTGGCCTGATTTTGGATTTAGGCAGAGGCCAGTGCTTCTTTCGTTTCGCAAGACGGGTGCTCATTCCTTTTGCGGATGAAATTGTGGATGGTGCAGCTGTGGTGGAGCCTGAGACACCCAGCAAACCAAAGGTTGATCTATTAGGGCATCTGACTCCTGGTGAGGCTGAAGCAATCAGAACCTTGTGTTCTCGTTTTCCTGAGGTGCTGACGCCAAAGCTTGGAGTCACCAATCTTTTGGAGTACGAAATCCGTTTGACTGACACCCGTCCAGTTCGTTCCCATCCTTACAAGCTTGCTCCACCCAAGATGGAAACACTCCGTGGAATCATCAATGAGCTTCTTGAAAATGGGGTAATTGAGCCTTCTCGCTCAAGTTACGCAAGTCCAGCTTTTCTAGTTCCAAAGCCAAATGGCAAGTCTCGAATGGTTCTAGATTATCGCAAGTTGAATGCTCAGATTGAAATTGACTCTGTCCCTCTCCCTGATTTGCACTCTGCGTTCGATTGGTTCGGTAAGGCCAAGTATTTTTCCGTCTTTGATTTGAACCAGGCTTACCATCAGATTCCCTTGAAACCTGAATCTCGACCTCTCACTGCCTTCTGCGTTCCGTGGAACTTGTACCAGTTCACACGTGTACCCATGGGCCTAGCTGTGGGGGCCCAGACCCTCACCAGACTTCTGGACTCCATCTTCCATGACGTCAAGTTCAAATTTGTGTTCAACTATCTTGACGATCTTTTGGTGTACAGTGAGAGCTTTGAAGACCATCTGGTTCATCTTGAGGAAGTCATGAATAGGTTGCTTAGGGCTGGCCTTACCGTAAATCCCGAGAAAGTTAGTTTTGCTCAGGCTGAGATTTCTTTCCTAGGTCATCTAGTATCATCTCGAGGTGTCTGTATCGATCCGGCTAGAACCCAGGCTATCAGGGAGTTTCCTCCTCCCCGAGATGTCAAAGGCATTGCCCGTTTCATTGGAATGGTGGGTTTCTACCGGCGCTTCATCCCCAATGTGGCTGAGTTGGCGGCTCCTCTCAATGAGCTTCGGAAGAAGGGCGCCAAGTTTGTTTGGGGTGAAGCACAACAGATGTCTTTTGATCTTCTGAAAGAAGCTATCATGCAACCTCCGGTCTTGGCGATGCCAGATTTCAGTCAAAGGTTTGTTTTGCAAACAGATGCTTCCTCCGTCGCAATTGCGGCTGTGTTGTCTCAAGAGGTAGATGGTGTTAGGCAGCCAATTGCGTATGCCTCACGCACTTTGAACCCATGCGAAAAGAAAAGCTCTTCTGTGTATGAGTTAGAGTGTTTGGCTGTCGTGTTTGGAGTGAATAAGTTCAGACGTTTTTTGGAACACAAAGAGTTTTTGCTGGAAACCGACAACCAAGCGCTCTCGTGGCTCCTTGCACATCCTCGCCAGCTTGGGAAAATTGGTCGTTGGGTGGTCCAAATATCTTCCCTCAAATTCCAAGTGCAACATGTTCGAGGCACGCAGAATGTGATTGCTGACACTTTATCAAGGATGTATCACTCACCTGACGACCAACCTTCTGATCAGGAGGAGCACACTGGGTGTGCCGTGCTCCTGGAGTTTCCCCTTGCCTTTTCTGAGTTCATCCCACATCAGTTAAAAGATCCCGAGCTGGCTAAGATCATTGGTGAGCTTCAAAATGGGGGAGCCCACCCCCCGTATTTTCTGTCCCAGGGTGCCCTTTGTTGTCGAGACCGACAGCGAGGTAAACCCAAGATTGTGCTGCCTAGTCTTCTTGTACCCATGGTCTTTGCGTACTTTCACTCTTCCCCTGTGGGTGGGCACTTAGGGATTCACAAGACCATTGCGAAGGTTAGGGACATGTTCATCTGGAAGGGTATGGACAGGGACATTGCGGCACGAGTACGTTCTTGTCAAACATGCTCGCTAAGCAAGCCTGCTCAGAATACCAAGTATGGGTTGTTGTCATCTGAGGTGGCGGAGAGACCTTTGGAGAAGGTTTTCATAGACTATGTAGGGCCTCTCCCACGTAGCAAGTCAGGAAACAAATTCTTACTTGTTTGTGTGGATGCCTTCTCCAAGTTTTGTTGGCTTTTTCCTTTGAGGAACGCCACTGCACAGCTCACCGTGCAGGCACTTCGTACCCATTTGTTCCAACACTTTGGGATACCCGCCACCATTGTTTCCGACAACGGAACTCAGTTCGTTTCTCACCTTTTCAAAAGAATGTGCTTTGGGCACGGTATCCGCCATGTGACCACTTCCCCTTACTATCCACAGCCTTCACATGCTGAGAGGTTCAACAGAAATCTTCGATCCGCTCTCATAGCTTTTCATGCTGACAAGCAGACCACCTGGGATCAGGAACTTCCTTGGATTCAATTTGCTTTCAACACTGCACACCATGAGAGTCACAAGGCGGTCCCTTTCGAGCTGTTGTTGGGCTATCCACCCAATAATCCTTTAGCAAATGTGTGGAAAATTGGCGACCTTCTGCCACCACCTGGTGCAGCCAATGTCAAGGCAACTTGGCAGGCGGCTAGGAGGAACTTGATCCGAGCTAGGGAATTGGTTCGGAGGAAGCACAATCGAGGTCGGTTGGACAATCCATTCCAGGTGGGGGATTTGGTTTTCTGCAAGGCTCATCCGGTCAGTTCGGCCGTGGACAAGAGAGCCGCTAAGTTGTCTCATCGGTGGTCAGGTCCCCACCGCATCTTGAAGTTCTTGACTCCTGTCTCTGTGCGGCTGGGAAATCCGCAGACTGGAGAAGTTTTCCGGAGGGCTCACATTTCTCATCTGAAGCCTTTCCGGGGAACAATTCCGTAGGTCATCTTTCATTACTCTTGTGTCTGAGTGGGAAGTGCACTGGGCCAGAGAGCTTGATCACCTCTTCTGTCCCTTGTGCGCTGCTGAAGATTTTTCCCTAGTAAATTTTCCAGCACTGGCCAGTGCAAACCCTGGGGGTGAGTAGTCCCTCCAGTTGAAAGACTTTTGGCGTTCCCCACTTCAGACATTTGAGTTGATCTGTGGTGTTGAGATCTTCTAGAATTGGGAGAGGTTGTTTTTCTTTTTTTTTGGAGAGGAAGTCCTCCTTTGGGGGGGGAGGTTGAGCCGTGACTTGTCCACCAAGCGTCCCACCAATGTCACGCCTCAGTGTTTTTTGTATAGTACGAGTACTGGCTTTGCGCCGGAACTCAGTCGGTTTGGGTCGGGCAGCAATCCTGCAACCCAGAGTCAATGTCCGCCTTCTGTCACATTTTCACCAGAAGGCCGGCGATTGTCAATTTGTAAAGACTTGGGTATCTTCGATGAATATCAGTGTTAATCTTTCAATGTCACTGTTAATTTTGTTCATCCGTTCTTCGTAGACTCTAGTCATGGTTTAAGTGTTTTGCCAGACATCAGATGAGGTCCCAGATGGGAGGCTCTTACTGGTTGCTGCTTCCGGAGAGGTTCGCCCAGGGAGACACTACTCCTTCTCCGTCTTCGGGCTGCTCATTACCCTGCTCCTGGGACCAGTAAGCCTTCATCTGCTTTCTACTACTATGCCGCCCTACGCCATCTTCCGGATGGATCACCGCCGCCCACCATTAGTGTGATGTGACTAATGACCACGTTCCGCAAGTTACCATATTTTAAATTTGTTGAGATTTTTGGACTGAATTGAAATTTTGAAAAGGAGCCCCAATAATTATGGTTTAGCTTACTAGTCATGATCCGTTATTTATTTTTTTAGTTATTGTGAAGTATTTATTGTTAATTTATTTAAAGTTTATATATTACAGTTACCATTTTTTTAAATTATTTTTATTGTTAGGCCTAATTTGCCACTGGTACCAGTTGTAAGTTTAGAAGGGTAAACTTAAAATTCTAATTAATTTATTTTTTGAAAAAGCCTTAAGAGATAAAATAAAAGATTCTTTGGATGGTTACTTTGTTTGATTGTTGATTGTTATTTTGTTGATTTCATTGAAAAATTATAGGCTTTGTTCACTATTTGTTTTGTTTTTGATATTCACCCACGGCCTTTCACTTTTGTTAGGGATGTGGGGCGGCCACTCGCACTGTCACTATGGGGGGCATGCTTCCAATAGTTGTTCGTCTGGGGGCGGTGCGAGGGGTCGGCTCAATAGCCTAAGTGCAACATGTGTACATTTACTTAAATCTCATGAAATTCACTATGGTTTTAAAACATGTTCATCATTAAACAAAAATGACTATATGGATGATATGTAGAATGATATCCCATCCTAACAATGCTGCACTTATTAATTTTAGTAAGTCAGTATATATGCCACACACTGCTTTGTGTCTAATCAATTGTTCATATTATTTAAAATTGTTGATACACTATTTCCTCAGCACGACCAGACGCTGATAGACTATATCATTCAGCTCACGTTGCTGAGGCTGACGCAGCCTGGAACAGTCCCAGCAATCAGTACTGGCCTTCATTGCTGTATCTCCAGGTACATATCAAGACCAATAACAAAACTATCAGCTATACTCGCTCTTTGCATCGGGAGAAGACATAAAATGTATTATATTCCAAAGTTACATATCCGCCATTGATTTTAGTAATAAATACAATTCAACTATACCGCATAGTATGATAAGTCATCGGTCTATGACCCACCAAAGTGGTCAGATATTGTTAAGTTACATAGTATGGTATATAAATGGCGCTGATACAAGTCTCAAAAACACCGTAACTGTATTCAAACGTGTACAATTATTATTATTACAATATTATTACATTACAATAATTTAGTTTTAGCATATTTCCTACATACGAAAACCTATTACCGTAGGTCTCGTCATAAGACCTAGTCGTATCTAGAACAATTCGTTAGGTGTTCGTTAGTACGATAGCACGTGTAGATGATTGCCTGAATCCTAAATAAACCCGTATTCAAGAAGTGAAAATGGGTAAGGAATTCAAGCCTTTGAAAACTCAAACTAAAGGAAATACTTGCAGGTTTCTAATTAAACTCTTTGTTGAAGAATCGACAACCTATCGTAGACTTGAACTTAAAAGGAATTCACTTAAGTAAACCGGAACAAGTTCTTTCGTTATAGTTACCGGTCCACAAAACACTGTTTTTAATAGGCCTACTATGGGTATGAGCTAAATTTTGCGTGGAATTGTTCAAAATAAATATCATTACCCTTATAATAGTACTATGTTTTTACTTCTATTACTGTTATAAAGAAGAGGTGGTGTTTGTCTGTGTGTGTGTGTGTGTGTGTGCGCGCGCGTGTGTGTGTGTGTGTGTGTCCGTTAGCACGATAACTCGAGCAAAAATGATCCGATTTTGCCGAAATTCGGTATAAACGTGTAAACCTACATTTATTCGAACGAGTTCGCGAACCAGCATGATCCGACAATGGGAATGGGGGTTTATGGGGGTTTTATGGGGTTTTATGGGGCTGGGTTTTTCCTATTTTTTACGCTAAAAACATAAAATTTTGAAATTTTTTCCAAACCATTTTGTACAACTCATAAAAAAAAATGATTTAGCATATCGAAGCGTTGTTGTATGCCTAACGGTTGCGGAGAAAATTCTAAAAAAGTGTAAATTTTAAAATACTGTGTTATTCTTATGGAGAATAAATAAACTGATATAGACTCTTATATGGACATACTTTAATGACATTTTGCAATTTTATTTACCTCATACTAAGCTACCAATATTTCAATAAAAAAACGTTTTTGTCTTCCCTGTAGCAGCAAACCTAAGTACTCATTATAACTAATGATATGTAAATAGGAAATAAATTTGACAATTTCAAGGGATTAATTTTGTGGAATTCCAGCCAAGTAGAAGGAAATTCGCTTAGTCTGCAGGTTTGCTGCGGCAGGGGTATTTATGTTATAGACATGTAAGTATACTCCAAACATTCATATAGTATTAGTTCCTTCCATCCAAGTCATTGACTTGATCAGGAATGCACTAAAGTTATTAACACGCTAATCCGTTTCCCAGAAATTTATTGGGGGTAAAAAAATACAATAGTTATTTTATAAACATTTTGGATTGAAAAAAGTAAATACGTTGATGAATAATTATGCACTTAAAGATAAAATTGCCCTATTCGCACAGTACCACAAATTATTTATTAAATTAAACACATAAACATACTTAAAAGTTCTCATTGTGTATCACAGCTTGTTGCTGCTTAGTTCATTTGAATATTGTAGAAATCCTATAACTAACATTATTTCACAGTTGTGTGATTTCTTCACCAAACGATGTATTTCAATTCTGCATCATTAATATACTAAAAATGGGAAGTAGGAGAATTAGTGATGAGTGAATCAGTCAGTCAGTCAGTGAGGGCTTTACATTTATTGGTATGGAACTAAACATCTTCAAGTAAATAGGGATATTTGACTTAAATAAATCCAAATCAATTTGTAAAACAAATCAGAAACTAAAAAGTAACCCTTTTATATTCTAAAGTAATCAATAAATACTAACCTCTACGCCTCTAGAAAATATTATTGTCAAGTCTCAAGTCAATTGTTAATATTAATTATTCTTTCGGTTGGGGGAATTATTCAGTTTACTCTTGTCTAGGGTTACGAGTTACGATAGTTTTACATTCGTTATGATACTATACAATAATTAGTCAAGTGACTTCATCATCACATTCAGTTCGCGAACTCTCTAATCTCCGTAACAGTTCGCCTAATCACCGCTAGGTGTCATTGACATCGAGGTCCGCAACAGTTCGTCTAGTCTCCACCAGGTGTCACTAGCCTCGACATCTACTAAATCCATCATAGTTTCTTTATTTATTTGGTATTATAAAAGAAGTAAGTCCCAATAAATAAATTTATCTTCAACTAAAAAAAAAGACCAGTTAAAACCTAAACAAAATTATATCCCTACGGTTGAAATCCGCGCTAGTTTTCAGAGAAAGCCTAGTATTTCCTTATACATTCTCGCAGCGATTTTTGAGAAGCTAGTACATGACTACCCCGTTTGGCTTTGGAATTTTTAAGAATGCGTGCCAAGACATTTCATGTTTTATTCTATGAAAAGCCGAAAGGCGTGTTCTTTACCTAGGACCGCCAATTGGCTTATAAACAACTATACTCTTTAAACTCAAGACATACAGTATGTCTTGACCTTACATACAGAGAGTGTTTCTCATTTTTTTACTCACAGGGTGACAGACAAGCAAGTTAGTAGAACCATTGTCTGCCGCTTGCCACGCTCCTCTGTGTCTGGCTTGCTATCTGTCGGCTGTCGCTGTCTGTTTGGAAGTCTGCCTAAGGTTTTTTTAGGTTAATAATAATATTAGACAAGAGTTATCTATTAAAAATACAAGAGTTTTATACTTTTTGGGGGTACAGTATCCTAACTGGGCTATGCTAATATCGATTGAAACTATCGATTTGATTAGTAAACCTTCATGCGATTTTTTCACCATCAGCAAGTTTGGTTGGTTAGGTTAGGTTATGATAGTTTAATTTTATAATAGATATATTTAAAAATATCGATTATTAATCAATATTTTCAACTCGATAGATTCAATCGATATTAGCATAGCCCAGTTAAGAAAGTGTACCCCTTTTTGGTTTAAATATTTTTTCTCCGGTTAGGGTATTGTTTATGAAAGTCAGATCCTTGGTAAGATGTCCCGTAAAGGGGCTAAAGTATAAGGCAAAGGCAGGGCTATTTAATTTGTAGCTTAATTAGGCTACATTGTTTAGTTTAGAATTTCTTCCTTTAAAAATATGGGTTTTTCAAAACAGTCCCCCTATTATTCGTATTATCTACACCTTGGGACTAAACGTTTTAGCTTGGATTAGGCAGGCCCAACTTAAGTCTTTCGACTTTTAACTTAAATCTTTCCTCTTTACTGCAGTTGTGCTGAGACTGGAGAATCCAATCGTCTTTTCCCTGGGTGTGTTTTGTTTGCAATAGGACTATTGCATGAATGTTGGAACCTTGGTAGGCTAAGTTCTGGTAGGGGCTGTTTATTTTGTGCAGGTTTAACTTACTCAGAGTCACAGAGCATAGAGAGTGGTTAGAGTGTAAACTTAAGTTACCGGTTGTGTAACTTATTGCGGTGTGCAACGGTGTTATATTTATAATATTTCCGCCCCAGTGTCTCTGAAATTTCCCATGTTAACCTTATGAGTACTCATATTTAAATGGAATTAAAGAATATTAACAGCTGGTTCAATTAAACAATTTGATTCTGTGATGTTCAATAGCATTAAAAAGTTAATAGGTTTACCAACTGGGTGCAGCACTATTATTTTTAGCGAATTTCCCATATAATAAGCTATTACCGTAGTACCATTGACTATTGGAGAGCAAAAATGATCCGATTTTGATGAAATTTGGTACAAACGTGTAAACCTACGTTTATTCTAACGAGTTTGCGATCCAGCATAATCGGACCATGGGAACGGGGGTTTATGGGGGGTTTTATGGGGTAAAAATGGGATTTTCCCATTTTTGACCCAAAAAACAAAATATTTTGCATTTTATTTTTAAAAACGTTTTGTAGAGCTTAAAAAAATAAATAATTTAGTTTATTGATGCGCTGTTTTATGCCTAACGGTCACGGAGAAAATTCAAAAATAGTGTAATTTAAAGTTCCCATGTTATTCTTATGGAGACAATGAACATTGTTGTAGTTTACTTGTTTATGAATAGCCTATAAATTAATAAAATTTGGCAAATTTATTTATTTCATCCTATACTATTGACGTATGGTCAAAAAACACTTTTTACCTTCCCCGTAGCAGCAAACCTAAGCACTCGTTAAATCTAATGTTGTTTAAATAGGGAATAAATATGTCTTATTTTATGGAAATATTTTAGCAAAAATGTAATCAGACAAGTTGAAATTCGCTTAATCTGCAGGTTTGCTGCGGCGGGGGTATTTTAAATTTATTACAACAGCTAATTTGCAACCAAAAGGTGAGTGAGCGTAGCGAACGAACTCCAACCTGGAGGCGAGTTAGCGTAGCGAACGAGCTAACCTGAAGGCAAGTGAGCGCAGCGAACGAGCTCCAACCTAAAGGTGAGTGAGCGTAGTGAACGAACTTCAACCAGGACGTGGTTGAGCCATGTGAACGAGCTCATCTTGAAAATGAACGAGCATTTGACTTAAAACCACATTAGGGCCATCGATATATACTACGATATATAGATCGTAGTTATATATCGATGATTAGGACAGGACAGAGTCTGTCGGGCCAGCTAGTGATTAAATAAAAACAAGCAGAACTGTCACACTTGATTTCACAATTCCACGCAGTTGGTTTAGACTAATATTAATACGGAAATACCATTTCATATAGACTGTCATTAATAAAATAAACTATGAATTGATGAAATAAGTTAGATTCTATAACTGTTGCCGTAATAACCTGAGTTTTATGACAGTTATTTTTTAGATACCTTTTTGTGAACACAGTAATAAAATACATTCACTGCAGTTAACCTGCAGACTAAGCGAATTTGCATTTGCCTTACAATATTTTCACTTAAGTTCCTCCTTTAAAATTTTAGATAATTACGCTATTGGCAGGTTTTGAACTACCTGTATTTTGATAGCTTTTCTTTTACAATGAAAGCTACTCTTTGCTTACTGACCGCGCTGCAAGGCATGGCTATGGCTAGTCAGGCATTTGGTTTTAGCTGTTTCTAGGAATTCGTGCTGTGATAAAAGTTATATTTTGCTAAACTAGAAGGAAAAACATGACTTTCTTGTTTTTTTTCCAACAAAAAGTGCATTACTAAATGTAACGTGTTCATTAATCTAAAACAAAATATAAAATAAATTTATGACATGCTTACAATACAATCGTTATTGCCCGTTTCAATTAAGACCAAATATTTCTTGAGAAGGACTAATGTTTGGATAAATAATGAAAAAGACAAGTGGTAGCCATATCATAGTATAAACGTATTGCCGACGGTTCAAAACGTTTACACACAAAAACGTTTTTGAAGAGGCAAATATTTTTTAAGGCTTGTTTAATTAGTAATGATT